GTCTCTGTATCGGATGCAGGAGTGCGGGGTAGCAGGCAAGAAAGAGCCTGTCTGTGTGGGAAGCTCTTTTTAAACTCTGAGGGACCATCTAATAGTCAGTAACAGCTAAAATTTGATGCGATTACATTACTATTCAATTACATGCTATCTAACATCCCTAGAAGAATGCAGAGAGTTCAGTTGGCAGTCCACAGCTTGTGGTTAGCAGCAAAAACAAGGTTATTTATAAGCAATTTATCTGGCATCCAGGCCTTCCCCTCTCTAAAGCCAAGGGGGTGCTCTGTGAAAGACTTAATCCAAGCATGTTAGCAATTGTTCCTTCTCCCAAATATATGTGATTGGATCTAATTAGAGGGTGATAAGCATTTCAACAGTTTTACTCCAGAGTATTAGTTTAGGTTCCCTAACCATCTTCTTACTAGACTTGACCAAAAGATCTGTATCTACATTTCCTCTGACACCCAGGGAGTTCCAGGGTAATTGCAAAGATGAAAATGGGACAGAAAAACACTACTTTTCAGAGCTCCAAATGGGGCTAGATGCTTCTGGTGTTCAAGTCTTCTAAATCTGGCAACACTGCTCTATGTAGCTAAGTCTTTCACCCCAACTTTGAATTTTTGTAAGTACTTGCATAGATAATACTACTCTGATAGTAATTGCAATTGTTGGATAGAGAAGCATGGATGTATACTAACATGTGGCTGCTTCATAGAATCCTAGGGCTGTAAGAGACCTCAGGAGGTCATTGTGTTCAGCCCCCTACCCAAAGCAGGACCAACCTGAACTAAATCATCCCAGGCAGGGCTTTGTCAAGACAGAATTTAAAAATCTCTAGGGATGGAGAATCCACCACCTTCCTAGGTAACCCATTCCAGTGCTTCACCACCCTCCTGGTGAAATAGTTTTTCTTACTAGTCAACCTAGACCTCCCTCACTGTAATCTGACACCATTGCTCCCTGCTCTGCCATTGGTCACTACTGAGAACAGCCTCTCTCCATCCTCTTTAGAACCTCCCTTCAGGAAGTTGAAGGCTGCTATCAGATCCCCCTCATTCTTCACTTCTGCAGACTAAATAAGCCCAAATCCCTCAGCCTCTCCTCATAGGTCATGTGTTCATATCCATATCCTTCCTATAGTGGGGGGAGAGGCAGAACTGGATGCAAGATTCCAGATGTGGCCTCACCAGAGCCGAATAAAGGAGAATAATCACTTCTCCAGTCTGCTGGAAATGCTAATATGCTATTAGCCTTCTTGGCTTCAAGGGCACACAGTTGACTCTTATCCATCTACTCCTCTGATTTAATCCCCAGGCCCTTTTCGGCTGAACTGCTACTTAGCCAGTCAGTCCCTAGACTGCAACAATACTTGGGACTCTTCCATCCCAAGTACAGGACTCTGAACTTGTCCTTGTTGAACCTCATCAGATTTCTTTTGGCCCATTCCTCCAATTTGTCTAGATGACTCTGGACTCTATCCCTGCCCTCCAACATATCTACTTCTCCTCCTAGCTTAGTGTGAGGGTGCAATCTATCCCCTCATCCAGTTCATTAATAAAGATGTTGAAAAAAACCGGCCTTAGAACTGTTCCTTGGGGCATTCCACTTGAAACCAACTGCCAACCAGACATCGAGCTGTTGATCACTACCTGTTGAGCCTGACAATCTAATAATCTTCAATTTATTTGTAAGTAACCTTTCTTTTCACAGTTAAATTGGTGTGTGTGTGTGTGTGTGTGTGTGTGTGTGTGTGTGTGTGTGTGTGTGTGTGTGAAGTAACTATCAAATCAGAGTTCATTTTTTGCAGGGGTTGGGGGCTGCTGATCCACAGAAGAATCAGTTGGGGGCTGCACATAAACAAAAAAGCCCTCAGTGATGTGGCCCCTGACTGAGAAGGAGAAAGATACACCTCACATTTCCCTTGCACACCAGAGCCTGGAGGGCCCAGGCTGGTAGATTATCTATGCTTCAGTCCTGTGCGGGGAGGAGGCCCTGGAATGTCAGTGCATACTCCCAATGCTGGAGGGAGAGCCTGAGACTCAGAGGCCAGTTCCAGGCAAGCTTGGGGCTGCATCTGGCCCCTGGGCCTTAGGTTTTCCCCCCCAATTTAGTGTGTTAATGAAATATTTATATACTGTATTAGCCAGTAGGATGGCACTATGCAGTGAAATAGCCCACTTTTTGGCAGTGTAGCCTATGTTACAATCCTACTTTCAAACATTAATATTTCCAGATTTTTTTAATTATTCTGATCTCAGTTTTTCTTGATTCTTCTTTTTCTCTTTAAGACCTGAAACCTCACAAAATACCTGAATGTAGAGACATTGTTCCCACTGGCTTCTAGCAGCCTCTTTCCTTTATTTTTATCAGCTATTTTCTCCCAGCTATGCACGACTGATTTTTATTTGTTTATTTTCTTAGCTTTGTAGTTACTTGGTAGAAGAAGGAAGAAAGCTGCTTATGAGTGGTATTTCAGGAAGAGTAATTGCATTATTCTGGCTGGCATTAAATTATTTTTCCTGCTGTTTAGCTGGCTTGGGCCTCAAGCCACTAGAACTTCTGTTGTCTTCATGAACATAACACTTTTGGAGGGGAATTGGACTGTCAAAGTTTTACAACAGGCTTTGTTTACAGAGGCCTCTTATTTGGAAAAAAAAAATCCCGAAATGCTGCTTATCACCAAAAAATGGGGGAAAAAAAGTCGAGATGTGTGCAGCTTCTGCAAAGACTTTAGAAAACTAGTACATTCTGGCTCCCAGTTTGCCTTCCTAGTGTGGGGAGTTTCTTTTAAATTAATGATGGCTGGGGAGAATGGTGCTGCCTACAATTATTCACATGTAAGCATCAGAGTATTTAGTATGCCTCAGAGTGTAGAAGATATTGTTGCTATCATGATTGGCACTCTGAAAGGAAAAAAGTTACACTTGCAAATAAAGTATATCCAGGCTACTACGGTGGGAAACAAAGATGAAATAGGGTACTTTTTCATAGTTTCAGTCACATAGCTAAGGGACATCTTCAGCTGCACAGATTTTAAAATGGAAAACATGGACATTGATTCAGAGGGGGAGAGCTGTGTTTATATGCTGAGAAGCACACAAGCCCAAGAGAAAACTCTTAGTTGAAACAACGAGCAGTGGTGGCACCTTCGAGACTAACAACTTTATTAGCTCATGAGCTTTCATGGGTAATATCCACCTCATCAAGTGAATTTTAGTGGAAATTACAGAATTCAAGTCGTGTGTGTGTGTGTGTTTGTGTTTGTGTATTTATATATAAAAAACAGCAAAAGAAATTACCTGTCAGTCAATAGTATCAGTGTATATATAACAACAAAAGAACACCTGTGAGCCTGTTCCAAATAAAAAGTATTTGGATCACAGAAATTTTTTTAATCTCAACTAGAAGCTGAAAAAATCCATGGCATTAAATATAGATCTATATCATTTCAAGAAGAGTTTACCTTGCTCCTATTACTGGATTAAGTTGATACCCACCTCCAACTAGGGAAATATACTTCTATTTCATTGCTAGAATCTAGTCAGTGAACTACAACTATAGAGCATGCAGTAATTCTAGCCATTGCTAATGGTAAGAACAAAAGTAGGCCTTGTCAGAATACTAGCACTAGATATCAGCTTGCCAAGAAAGCAAATTTCTGATATTAGAGGATGTTAGAGAAGCTCCTGTGGGCCTCTTAAGCAGAGGTGAAAGTAAGCAGGTGAACCCAAGTGTGCAGCTCCAGCAAGAACTGGCTGAGTTGCAGCAAAAACCAGTGGAAGCTATTTAAAGAACTGGCAGGGACCCAGATTGCAATAGGACAGTACCTGTCAGTAATTTTAAGTTACTTTCACTGCTGCTCTTACGTAATTGCATAAAAGCATTTGTAAGGGGTTGGGGGAGGGGTGTCTGTTCCTCTCTCATAGTAAACTTTTTATTTGAAAATTATCCCTGGCTGAGGAGACAAGTTTGTGGGGACAAAAATGCAGCTATTTCTTTGCCAAAACATAGGTTTCTTACTCTCACCCTTTTTCCTGCCAAAGAATGACCTCTTAATTAGATAATAGTGTATTTGATTATGTTGATGCATGACTATGGCTTCAGTTTGTCTTTTGTCTCCAAGGAGAGCTGGTTTGCATCTGCTTTTCTAAATTGGCACGTGTCTCAACAATGTCATACAGTAGACTTTGGTAAATTTACAGACAATGTTACCATATGTATTTTATTACTAATCTGCAAACTGAGTTTTCATGTGGTAGCTGACAAGGCATACTTTTTACAAAATGTATCATAGTATTGTAAAAGAGTGACCATCGATACACTCTGTCTCAGGGATTTTTTTAGATTAAATGGCAAATAGTGTCTGACCATTACTGTGTGTGTGTGTGTGTGTGTGTGATGTGGTAAAATGGGATATATTTTTCAAATATTTGATGTGGGGGGATGAAGAATATCACTAGAAGTTGGTCAGTGAATGTAGTTTATTGTGAAACTTGTTTATAGAAGACTTTGAAGGAAAAAAGTACAATCTTAAAACAGCTTTAATATTTTTTTTTTTGGTACATCAGTGCTCAAGGTTGTAAGAATTCTTTTATTGTGCCAGTTAAAAATGGCAATAGCGTATCGAAAATATGCATATGTAATAATATGTTGATTGAAAAGTGTGTCCTGTGTTGTAATGTGATGAATCTAGATGGTAAAAATTCCAATTGCAACTAGCAAAAATAAGATTTTTTTTCACATGTAGTATGGCTGTTTTGAGGCTAGTAAAAGTCAGCTTAAATTGGTTTGCATGCTGCACCACAGGGTTTAGATCTCCACCACAGAACACTAGCTGTGAAAGTAGATGTTTTTCATAGCATAATATAGAGAAAACTAAATTAGTATTTTCATGTTTGTAGCAAGTACAATTACAGGTATGCAACTGAGCTAGTCATTGTTAATGCTTTCACTCAAAAGTTGGTGATGTCACAATCCCATTATCCAACAATGAACTGTTTATTACTCTCTTGAAATTAGGCTTTAACTTTTTAAAGCTGTATCTTTTCTCTTCTGTTTGTAAGAAACACACTACCAGGCTGTCAAAATGCAGGAGACCAGTGGAACTTACTCTTTTTACAGGCATTTCAGTGTTTTATCTCTTTAGTTAACTGTTCTTAGCTATAATCATTTTGTTTTGTTTTGTTTTAAAGTTTATGTAATTGACTAAGACAGGAATGAAGTTGCTTGGGATTAGTGCTTGGAGAAATGCGGACAAATCATCCTGTTTGCTGTTTCTTGGTGTCTTTCTGGTGCTGAGTGTGCATGTCTCCCAATCCAATGCTTTTTGGATTGCTCATCTGAACATATCACTTCAAATAAGGAACAAGACTGTATGGGAGCTGGCTGACAATGGAGTATTTGGAAAAAACTCCCCATTGAAGACTGTGTCTGGAGTGGTGGTGCCACCATCTGGACCATACCAAATTGCCTGCAGTCCCTTAACAAACTTCAGCAGGCCTACGCACTCTGAGACCTGGATAGCCCTCATTATGAGGGGACACTGTACCTTCACAAAGAAAATAAATGTGGCAGCAAAGAAGGGAGCAATTGGCGTGATTATCTATAACCATCCAGGCACAGGCAATGGAGTATTTCCTATGATTTACCTGGGTTCAGAAGATATTGTTGCAGTTATGATTGGCAATCTGAAAGGCATGGACATTCTACATTTGATACAGAATGGCATCAAAGTAGTAATAGCAATAGAAGTAGGGAAACACTATGGTTCCTGGATGAATCATTATTTGGGGTCCCTTCTTCTCTGCACATTGGTGACAGTGGCCTATTTTACCTTTTATTGTGCTGGAAGGCTAAGGCTAGCGAGAATTCAGATTGAGAGATACCGACAATTAACAGATGTAAAGAAAGCTATTGGTCAACTTGAGCTTCGCATATTAAAAGAGGGTGACAAGGAAGCTGATACAGATGCAGAGAACTGTGTAGTGTGTCTGGAAGTATACAAGCCCAAAGACGTAGTACGCATTTTAAGATGCAGCCATATTTTCCATAGGTTGTGCATTGACCCTTGGCTGCTACAGCACAGAACATGCCCAGTGTGCAAATGTGACCTTCTCAAACCTAGTGAAGCTGATCTGCCTGTCAGAAATGAAGCAGAATCTTTACAAGCTGTAGTGCCAAATGAAGCTCTTGACACCACTTTGCTTAATGAAGAAGATAGTCATAATGAATATGTGTTAGTGCAAGATTCAGAGAGCTCCTCAATGGATGAATAACTTTCTTCTTCACAGATGGATAATCAAACCAGTTTGCTGGTTCTTCATGTTGCTTCACCTTGATTACCTTGTTTGTTTAAGGTCAAAATTAAACTTATATTCTTGAAATAAATTCCTAAATTCTGTCTCAACATAAATTATGAACTGTCTTTTTGCTAATTTCTCAAATGTAGAAGGAATGAAGTTGGGCAAGTATTTCTCTGAGTATGTATGTAACACATTTTGGTAACTTAAATGTCAGTTTACACTTTTGGTATAAAAATAGGAAAATTTAAAAAAAAATTGGCTTATTGCATATGAAAAATTTCAGACTTCACTGTATTGAATAGAACACATCTATGTGTTCTGCATTAGCTTTGTGTGGCAAAGATATATATATATAACATTGCATTTTAATATATGGATATTGCATTATTTTGGTTAAATCCTATTTTCCTAGTTATGTAAAACACACAATATTAAATTAAGGGATTTTTTTGGTACTACTTTGATTTCAATTGTATTTTCTATTCTTGGCCTTTTTTCTATTGAGGCAGAAGTTTAGAGGCTAAGATGATGTAAGGGGCAAAAGACCAGCATGGAGGTGGCATTGGGCAAAGTTATAGTGTCTTCTGGGAGTCTGCCTAGGTTTAAAAAACAGCTCTTCCCTTTCACCTTCCACTCTTTCTCCTCCCCTTGACAAATCGTATTCTTCAACGACTCAGAGAAAAGTCATTGTTGATGCCAACTAACTTACTACATATACAAATTGTCTATGCAGGTGATCTACCATTGTAATAATACAATATTTTGTTTGTTTTTCTCTTCTTTTTTTCCCTGCCCATGTGTTTGTGTCTCTATCAGGAACATCCTGTCTTGTCTTAGAATAGATTGTAAGCTCTTTTAGGATTGACAGGTGTCCGGTATTGACCTGGACAGTCCAGTATTTTTGCCTCCCGTCCAGTAAAAAAATTCAGAAAATACCAGACACCTAAAATGTCCGATATTTTCTGATTTTTTTTCCCCCCTCTCCTCCCCGCCAGAAGGTGAAAATACCAGACACATGGCAACCCTACAACACACTCAGCAACTGGGCCCAGCCCTGGGCCCCATTCCAGGCCCCTCCCCTGATGCCCACCTACCCCCCTGCTTACCTGATTCCGCAGGGGCTTGTCTTGTGGCTAGTAGAAAAACAACATGGCTGCTGGCAAAAAAGCATCTTCTCAAAGGGGCCATGCTGATTTTTAATTTTTGTTGCGTAATAACTGCTATCGGGGTCCTTTTTTTTCCCTCAACAACTTTGGTCTCCCCTGTGAACTGTCATTTCTTGTTTGTACAGAGCCTGCTTGCATAATAGACAGATGAAGTCATGACATGGTTGAGATCTCCATGTGCTACTGTTATTCATACCTGGTTCGTGTGGGTGCCCTGTAGTGGCGCCTAGCCTGACTAGAGATTGATGAGTCTGCTACAGCCTTGGCTAAGAGCCATGTGGCTTTTAGCTTGTAAAGTACAGGTTTGTACATCACATTTCAAAGGTCCCAGATTTCATGCCAATGATCAGGATCTGTTGGCATTACTGTACAAAGAATTAATTATGAAATTATGCTGCCATTTAGCTGTTTCTTAAAGGGTACAGGAGAATTAGAGAAAGGAGTCTAACTCCCCAGCTGATTCCACGTATTTTTCTTGTGGCTACAGCACTAGCATAATATAATTACTGGTCTCTCACCTGCTCTTTTAATCTAGACACACATGGTAGGCTAAAAAGACAAGCAACCTCCTAAGAAAATAAAAATCACCATACTGAAGACTAGAGGTCCCTCTAATCCAGTATGTAATTTCTGACAGTCGTCAGGACCATATCTCCAAAAGAAGGTATTGTTGGAAAATCTAGCTTTTTTTTCTCCCACATTAAATCTCATCCTCATATCTAGTTTGAGATTAGTTTAAACCAAGAGTTATGAGATTGGCATCTTTTCTAAAATGCTTATTATAACTGGATATTCTTTATCTCACTAATCTTCTTGGTCTCCATGCTTTGCTTTGGGAATGACTTCCAAAGTCTAATTGCATGTTTGTTTGTTCGTTTAAAGCTGTTTTTCTTATTGGTTTTGTGTGTGCCACCTTTTAGTGTAATTAAATATTGTCTTGTTGCTGTGTTATGAGACAGAGACGAGAGAGTCCCAATCTAACGTCTCTACATCATTCATTCTTTTCATTTATCATATCCCCTCATATTCATTTCCTATCCATGATAAACTTTTTAATCTTTTTTCCCATGCTCCAGTCATTCAACTAGAAAGTGAAGGCAGCTGCTGGAAATAGAACAGGATCTTTTTAAACAAACCAACAAAAAGCATAAATAAGAAAAAACATAAGGAGAAAAATAATTTCAGCTGAATGGCAGATAATCTTACATAATTGAACAAGGTGCTTAAAGCCTAAAATAAAATAACAGAACAACACTGGTTGTAACCTCTAGCCTCCAGCTAAAACCCCTCCAGCACATCACTGACAGTCTATAACTTATCCTGTAAAATGATCCCTCACTCTCACAGAATTTGAGAGAGAGGCCAATCATTGCCTACAGACAGCCCTCAACTTGAAGCAAATTTTTACCAGCAGCCACATATCACACAACAGAAACACTTACCCAGGAACCTATCCCTGCAACAAACCCCATTGCCAAGTCTGTCCACCGTCCACCTATCTTTACAAGTGACGCCATCACAGAAGCTAACCACAAAAGCCACAACATCAGAGGCTCTCTCAACTGCACATCTACTAATGTGATACAGGCAGTCCCCGGGTTACGTACAAGATAGGGACTGTAGGTTTGTTCTTAAGTTGAATTTGTATGTAAGTCGGAACTGGCATCCAGATTCAGCCGCTATTGAAACTGACCAGCGGCTGACTACAGGAAGCCCGAGGCAGAGCTATTCTGCCCCGGGCTTCCTTGAATCAGCCGCTGATCAGTTTCAACAGCAGCTGAATCTGGACGCCTGGGACAGAGCAGTTGGGGTGCTGCCGGGTAGGTCCCCGCAGCGCCGCACCTCGGCACTGCAGGGACCAACCCGGCAGCACCCCAACTGCTCTACCCCAGGTGTCCCCAAGTCAGCTGCTGCTGAAACTGACCAGCGGCTGATTCCAG